CCAAAAGAACAAGATTGCTGATACAAGCGGCCGAAATGGGTTTCCTCCGTAGGTTGGCTGGGCTTTCCCTTAAAGATAGGGTGAGAAGCTCGGTCATCCGGGAGGGACTCGGAGTAGAGCCGCTGCTCCTCCACGTTTAGAGGAGCCAGTTGAGGTGGCTCGGGCATCTGGTTAGGATGCCTCCTGGACGCCTCCCTGGTGAGGTGTTCCGGGCACATCCCACCGAGGGGAGGCCCTGGGGAAGACCCAGGACACCCTGGAGACACTATGTTTCTCGGCTGGCCTGGGAACGCCTTGGGGTTCCTCCTGAGGGGCTAGAAGAAGTGGCTGGGGAGAGGGAAGTCTGGGCCTCCCTTCTTAAGCTGCTGTCTCCGCGACCCGACCCCGGATAAGCGGAGGAAGATGGATGGATGGATGGATAAGGTTCTTAGTGCTTTACATAAAAGGTTGGACTCCTGAATCCGCCTGTTTAAAATCCAGTTGTCTTTCACAAAATGTAATAAATTAGACTAAGGCTATCAGCAGAGTTATTAATCACCAACAAAATAAATTTGTCTGTTCATTCGGATGCTACTGACAGAAGAGTGAATCCAACCCGAGTGATTAATCGTTCACTGTATAAAATAAACACAAATGACCACGGATTAAAAATACAATTATACCTTTATTAACTACCATTCACACAGTATTATTATATCTGATAACTACGTAAACACTGAACACTACTGAAAATAAGCTCAAGTAAATAAATAAAAGGGGAAAAGGGGGTTTAAGAGTCCATTCAAAGCCTCTCAGGAATGTTCAAGTTTTAAGGCTTAACCTAAGCTGGATGGACTCACCTACTTCAGTGGCTGGGCAGAACAAATACATGACATGACTTGTTGACTCCAGAGCCCCCATTTCTGGAGGGGGACTCAGAATTGGCAACTAGAGGAGGAAGCCCTAACCTCCTGAGCCGCCATCACGTCCTAGAGGGCATTAACTCCATAGAATTCAATACAATACACTAGTGGCATTAGTGGCATCTCTCCTTCAACAAACCTGCCCCCATTGGCTGAATTATAGTTGAAGTCAAGTTCTGCAGACTCCTGCTAATGACCCGATTATTGGATTCAGAGTCGCATGTAAAAGGAGCAGGACAGCTGCCCTCAAGGACTGGACTTTGACACCTCTGGCCTTCATTGGGCTAAATCAACACTTTTTTGCTTCCAACTCCATTTAAATAGTTTTCCTTCATCCAAATCTCACCCAGATTGGTTTTTGTCTTGATTCAGAATATTCCTAATGTTTTTCTCTCTGAGCTGCAGCCCCTCCCTGTCCTGGAAAGAAGAGTGACCCTTACCATCATAGGACGGTTATACAGTCCACCCCCTCCAGTAGCAGTGATGGCGGCAGCGCCGCAACATGTAGCGAAGCTATTAGTTTAACTAAATGTTCCAGTAGCTTGACCGTAGCGTCGCTGCTTTATTTATCAAGTAACTTTCCTGTAGTGACGTTATTGCTTTGATGAAGTAGCGACGTAGCGTCCACAAACGCTACAAAATCCAGGGCATAACTAAGAAATGAAACCAGAATTTCTATTTTGAAACAGCAATCTGAGTGGCATGGTAGCACAGGCACACTCAGTAGGGTTAAACAAGCGCACCCTTCCGAGGCTGTCGTTCTATTGGCTGGAAAGGTTGCTAGGCGACGATTCAACTGCAATCCGAGAGAGAGCAAAAAAATCCGCAAGCAGAGCCTACGGGTTTGCGAGCATATCTGAGACTCGAGCAGGGCCCGGTTTGTGCGCGAAGAGAAGGAGGCAAGCGAGAGGAGAAAATATCTGTGCAAGAAGCATTAAATCTGAGAGAAGAAACAAAGATTTGAGAGAGAAGACAAAATATTTGAGAGAGAGCGCATGTTTTGAGCGTGAGCATTATAAGTTTTGAGTGCAAGGAGATGAAATTCTTTTCTCAAATTTCTCAAAATTATGTGCTCTTGCATTATGGCAGGATAATTCTCCCATATCTATGTGCCACTAAGATGCTCTAATTAGAGAGCAGTAGTGAAACTTCAATATTGTATTTTCTTTGCCTAGTTTACCTGACAGGATGTTTACATAAATCTGTTTTTAGGCTTTGCACAGATAAGATTTTTTAGGTGTGGAGGAACAGCTCTACCATATATAAAATAAATACATAAATACATAAATGCTCACTAAATAAATAAATAAGCATTAAATTAATTGCCCCCAAAATACAATGAATAAAAATGTAGGTAGAAATTAAATTATATGGTGAGACATAAATATATGTATCACTTAATTAGCTTATTTATTTTTTCACCTTCTTTTGTAAACAGTTTCATTTGTTACTTGAATCGACTGTTTAATTGAGGTCTGAAGAAGTTTTCTCTAAGGGAGACCCTAAAGAAATAAGATGCCTTTTGTAGGGTTTCGTTTTCCCTAGAGATGTCCATTGAATGTAAACTCATAGCCATGTCTCGATGTGTAGAACACTACACAGTACCTTTAATTTGGTTCTAATGACAGCAGATTGTTTACTAGTTTGTCTACTAGTAACTACTTCAGTTTTTATTTTAATATGCTGATCATAAAGCAATGTTTACACTGTGATATGTCATTGGCTGATCTTTAATAAATGTTTTAACTAGTGTGTCAGACTCATTTTGAATTGATATTAGCTTGGTAGAATGTTAAGTAGCTTCTGATGTAGTTAAGCTACTTTTAAAACATTAGTGTAACTTAGCTTGCTATAATTCTTTAGGTGGTAGCTTTGGTGTAGTGAAGCTTAATTTATTGTTGAGTAACTGATAGCTTAGCTCACTACACTGGACAAGTAGCTTGCCCAACACTGTCCAGTAGGCACCTACCTTTACCATGCTGTGCCTGCCCGGTTAAAACACAGGCCCAATATTCTCCCATTAGCAGCAGTGATGTGAAGAAGGCTTTGGTTAATTCTCCTCAAATTTAAAATAAGTGGCTCTTATAGCAGCTAATCTAACCAGATACAGAAACTGTCGGATTTTTTCTTTGGCTTATAATTAAAAATGTGTTTGCTGAGTTCTCAGACTTTGTTAGGCTTTCCTAAAGAAGAACCTAATCACCAGAGATGTTTAATCCCATGTTGCAGAATGTCAGATGTGAGGAAAGGATGCTCTGTAGAGTTAAAGATGATATTTCATCATATATATATGTCCGGTAGTTGACTTTGGAAGGTTTCAAAAAGGAGATCTAGAACCTTTGAGAGTTTTTCCACACACGGGTTCTGGTTCTGAACCAGGTCTGGTGCGATACTAAGCCAGCTTAGTATTGTAATTCTTACCATACTCATTTTTATCCAGTCTGACATTACATAGAGATTGAGATCAAGCTGAAATTTAGGCTTCATTTCCAGTAAAAAACAAAAAACAAATTGGGAATATACTCAGAGCTCTACACTATGGCTTTCTGTACTACAGGCTGCATGCAGGTCAGTTTCAGCCATAGTCACCAATTCCAAGTCATTGCAGTACTTGGAGACCATGTGGAGGACTCGGTTGGATCTCTACTAGATCAGTGGTCAGGAAAAAAGAAGCAGCGGCCTGTTCTCACAGCCAGAGCTGCAAACGTTGCCTGGAATTCAACATCAAGCTGGATGCATCTGTTACAACCTGGCATGACTGGGGTTAAAATTTAGCCACTGAGCTTTGCATGAAGTAATACATTCTGATTGCAATGTTTATAGTTTTGGGTTAAAAAGTGTTTTTTTGTTTTTTTTGTTGAAGATAGTTTTCAATTTAATAAAAAAAAAGATTCAAATTCACCTCATGTTTACTTCTTAGGATCCAGGTGCACATGGGCGGAACTTTTTGTTGCCAGGCAACAGGACGCTATTTATAGCTCTGATGACATCATATCTGGTGTTCTTTAATCTTTGTGACATCATAGGTAGGCGGGTCTATACATTGAGGTCATTTGATTCTGGAGTCCTTTTCTTACAAAGGCCTT